CTTTTTGATAATTTCAACTGAAAGATAAAGAGATGAACTGTAGAAGGAAAGCAAGTAAGTGAACGCTAAAATTATCAGTGATTTAGTTTTGGTTACAGTGGGGATAAAAGGAAAATATGTTTTACTGGTGGCAACAGTTGATCAAAATGATCGAAACTTATCAAGATTTCATTGCTTTATCACATAACAAAATGTTGACGTACCGATCAAAAGTTGCATGTCAGGTGTAGTATCCGATTCAATTGCTTCGAAAGCCAGCGCACGAGCCGCTTCATAATTACCGGCTTGCAGAAATATTCGTACTTTTTCGCCCAAATATTCCGATCTTTTTTGCATCGCGATCGCCCCATCAAGTAATTTCCTGTAATCATTCTTCTCACTCTTTCGGCGTCCGGAAAAAAGGATTATACATTATTACAAAAGTCGAATTACAGTAGTAATTCGCATACTATCAGCCTTATACACGGCGAAATTAGATCAGCACCGGCTCTCCTATTATGCAGTTTCCAGTTACTTCTGCTAATACTGCATCGTCCTGGTCAACATGCTGGCGATTCTAATGTTCTTTTCATCGACGAAGCGATTACAACTTAAATGGTTCTCTCGATGGAAGCGCTTCAGAGAGTTTGAGCAGTTTCGAGACGTTCCTGTCGTGTGCTGAACTTCGCAACCTCGTCCTGAATATTGCTACTTCTCGATCAAGATAGCTAGAACTTGCTGTCTAAGAACTCATGAATTTTAGAAAGGGAAATTGCACGTGGTGAGTTCTTTGGTTCGAAAAGATTAACAAGATGTACTCTCAGCATGCTAAGACAGCAAAAAAAAAATCATGTAGCATTCATACCAAAACAACACTCCGGTCGAATTCCGTCAAAAATGCGTGTGTGAAAGAAAAATAAAAGGAAAAAACCTGGCGAATTTCACTGCTGGATGATCGGCTGGTGCGGTTCGAAACAGAATTTGCGCGATTTCGTAGTGTAATTTATGATTCCTTGCTTCATTATTCTGAATGATTTCTGCGACTTCCCGTAAACTATTCTCGGTCGCTTGCAAGCTACCTTTTACAGCTAGTTCGTGAAATAAGTCCAGCAAACGCACAGGCAAACAGTCGTGCTGAAAAAAAATTCCGCAATATAAAATCATAGTTGAGTACCAAAATCTTTTGTCCACTCTCCATGAGAGTCGCAAGCATTAGGATCACAACAGGAGTAAAAACACTTCGAAAATAACTACTCACTTGAATGAGTGGCGGTAATAAATGTGGCCTGAAACGCAGAACTGGTACTCGCGTAATAGAAATAACTGGCCAACCCACGGGCTGCCCGTGCGAAGATGCATTTCTTGCATAGCTCTTCGCAGTTTTTGTTACTATCGTCACGGTTTTTTCGACAAATGCTTCTAGCTAAACAAATTAAGACTGGCCGTCAGAACTGTCAGAAAACACCCTTTAAAATTTCAGCTTTCTAGCTTGTTTAACTACTGAATTAGCAATTTACTGGAAAAAAAACTTTCACGGACCCGTGCGTGCTTGCCATGCATACCTGAGTTGCGTTTGAGCTGAATGAAACTAAGTGGACGGGTAATATCCTCTTAAAATTACAGTCCTTTAGCTTTGCGGGTACTCGAGTTATCAACTTACCCGAAAAAAACTTTGGCGGTTCCGCATGTGGGTACAACACTCATGCGGACACTGAGTTTGAGCTCATTAATACTTACTTGGACGGGGAACATCACTTTAAGATTTCAGCTTTCTAGCTTCTCAGATCCCTGAGTTATCAACTTACCCGAAAAAACATTGGCGGGCCCGTACGCGAGTACTGCGCGGATAACGGCGCCCATTTTGGGGATTGGGCCCCGAAAATGCACGTAGATTAAGCTCCCAAAGTTTCAGCCCTGTAGCATTTGTAGGTCTTGAGATGATAATCCGTGACAGACGCACACACGGACACACAGACAACCCCTCGTCAATATGCGTTTTCTGCAGTGCATAGCTGCAAAAAACGCATAAAAATTCTAAGGGAAAAATAAATTCAAAAAAAGAAACCAAAAAAAAAAAA